AGTGTGAGGGGAATCCAATTCCTCTGCCAGGGGATCTCCTCCCTCCCTGCCTTCTCACTTACCAATTTTCCTTCCACTTTTTTTTTTCCGTCACCCCCGCCCCGCCCAGTAGTTATTTCTTGGCAGCATTTAAACCACTCTTGTTTCTTTAATTTTCAAAAGCCATCTCTAATCCCAGGGTAGGTCTCCAGCACAGACACTGAGCCATCTGTTCCTGACGTCTGTCGGATACAGCCTGAATGATGAATATGATCGTACCACTCCGGATTTAAAAAGCAAAAGACGGAAAAAAAAAAATCCAAACTCCTTAGCCATCCCCACTCTGTCCTGTCTTCACAAGAGCAAGAGTGAGAGGGCTGGAGAGCTGGCAGGAGTTAAATGCCCTTGTGTCTCTTGCCCAAGATGGGAGTTCAGATCACAGCATCCACACTGGGCGGCTCATGACGGTCTATAACTCTACCTCTCTGTCCTCTTCTGACTTTCTCAGAAACTCTCACACATTTGACTAGACACACACATACACATGACTTAAAAATAAAAATAAGTCTTAGGTCTAGAGAGATGGATGGCCCAGCAGTTAAGAGCCCTGGCTGCTTTTCTAGACGATCTAGGTTCAGTGCTGGGCTCACAACCTTCTGTAAATCCAGTCCTGGAGTATCTGGCGCCCTCTTCTGGCCATTACAAGCACTGTATGCATGTAGTGCACAGACATACATCAGGCAAAACACCATACACACAAAAATAAAATAAAATAAAATAAAATAAAATAAAATAAAATAAAATAAAAAAACAAATCTGTCCGCGCAGTGGTAGCGCACGCCTTTAATCCCAGCACCCAGGATGCAGAGACAGGTGGAAATCTGTGAGTTCAAGGCTTTCCTTGTCTAAAGAATGAGTTCCAGGATAGCCAAGGCTACACAGAGAAACTCTGTCTCGAAAAAACCAAACCAAACAAAAATCTACTCATTTGTTTGGGCTGGAGAAATGTCTCAGTGGCTAAGAGCACACGTTGTTCTGGCAGAGGACCCACGTTCCATTCCCAGCACCCACATCAGGCAGCTCACAGCTACCTGGAACTCCAGCTGCAGAAAGCTGACCTCTCTCACCTCCTTGGGCACATGTACAGAGACACATACTTACACAAAAATAAATAATAATAAAAATATTTAAAAAGAGCTTGAATTTGATTCTCCAAAACACACATTTAAAAGCTGGGCATAGGGGTGGGACTGGAGAGACGGCTCAAAGGTTAAGAGCACTGACTGCTCCTCCAGGGATATGACTTCAATTCCAAGCACACACATGGCAGCTCATTACTATAACATTCGGGTCCAGGATGTCTAGCACACACCACCGCCTGGCATGGGACTTTTTTTGTGGGGGGGAGGAGGGCAGGACTTGACAGAGCCCAGGGTAGCCTGGAACTAGTTATATAGCCAAGAACAGTGTTGAATTCTCAATCCTCCTGGTACAGATTCCTGTACCTCTGAAGTGCTAGAATTACAGGCATTTCCCACCAGATCACTATGCCAGTATGTCAGGATCCTTTATTTCACTCTTTCCTTTTTTAAGTTTTCTAAAATTTAAATTCCTAGCCGGGCAGTTGTGGCGCACACCTTTAATCCCAACACTTGGGAGGCAGAGACAGGGGGATCTCTATGAGTTTGACACCAGCCTGGTCTACAGAGCAAGTTCTAGGGCAGGCTCCAAAGCTACAGAGAAACCCTGTCCCACAAAACAAACAAACAAATATATACACATATGAATACACACACACACATTATATATATATATATAATAACATATATATGTTATTAAGTTATAAAAGCTAGTGGTAGAAAAGCCTAAGTTAAGGCTCATAATTAATAATAAGTCTCCAAGTAATTATTCATAGGCTGGCGGTCCAAAGATAACCTGACAAGAAAGTTTGCTACCCATGGTTGTGTGCTCCTGCAACCCCAGCACCTGGGAGACTGAGGCAGGAGGCTCATGAGTTGGAGGCCAGAAGGACATCACAAGAGTGCAGCACTTCTGACCCTGTTGGGGTAAAGTGCTCAGTCGATGTTTGCAAGAAGGAATAAACACAGAGAACAAAGGCAGTAAGAGGGCTGTAAGCAATGCGTCCTTTAAGCAGAGGCTAGCACATGAGTAAGCAGGGCAAGGGGGCATGAGTAAGCAGGGCATGAGGGCATGAGTAAGCAGGGCATGGGGGCATGAGTAAGCAGGGCACTGGACATGAGTGGAAGCAACTAGGTTTGAAAGACAGGTTGTTGGTGCTAGGCAGGAAAATGCCTTTATAGATTATATTCTAATATAGATCATATATTTTATATTGTATTGAAAGCACTTTATAGATTATATTATAGACTATAGCTCAAAAACACTCTTGATGACGCTGGCAGCTGAACTGCACTCCCTGGCCCTTAGTTGGTTTCATTAGCAAAGGGCTTAAGAACCTTTGACCCTTGAGCTTCTGTGGTGAGGGGGTCACATTTGTAATTGTAGTGCACCTGAAAGGCTGAGAAAGGAGAAGAGTTGTGATTTTCAGGGTAGCCTGGGATATGGAGTTGAGACTGTTTCAGCTCTGCAGACCTAACCCCAAGCCAACCAAACCAAACAGATGTAACATTGACTCAAGAATGCTTTCCGAGGGTTCCTTGGGAGAATTGAGTTTCACTAGAATTCTGTGAGTGAAAGTGGTCTCAGAAAAACAAAGGTACCATCCTCGTGTTGGACGCTCATCTTCAGTCCGCTGTCCAGGTCAAGGCGAGGCTGCATCTACTCCCTGCCAACTGTTTCTCAAACACACACTACCCGGATGTAATCCAGAGTCAGACAGGCAGTAGATGGAAGCTGACTCACCGGTACAAGGCAATGCTGGGACAGAACACGTCCCAGACAACAGGAGCCACAAACTGGTGTGGTACACCGGAGAGACAGGAAGCTGGTACTTTGGCGGCGCCTGTGTGAGAGCTATGCCCTGGTGACCTACCTCCACCATACGGAATGTGGCCTGTGATATCATGAGCCCCAGTACCACAGATTTTCATGCTCCCAACAAAAGTCAGGGACCTAGGGAGCCAGGCTCTCTCCCTCCTTCCCTTCTTCCTTCTCTCCCTCTTTCCTCGATTTATTATTTGTTTGCTTTGTTTATTCTGTAGCCCAGGCTGGACTAACACTTGTGGCAATTCTCCTGCCTCACTCGGCCTCCCATGGGATTATAGACATGCCCAGCTTGGCAGAGCTCTTCCTATTTTCCCTCTAGACAGGGTCTCCTGTGGCACAGGTTGGCCTCCAGACTACTGTGTAGCTGAGGATGCCCTGGAATTCTGGGTCCTGCTTGCACCTGTAGAGGGCTGAGACTGCAAGAGAGCACCTTCATAACCTAACTACGCATATACCCTCCCCCACCTCTTTCTTCTCCTTTTGTATAGCGTTTTCCAGACTCCCCTCCTCCCCCAAACAGAGTTTCTTTGTGTGGTCCTGGTTGTTCTTGAGCCTGGAACTCACGAAGATCCACCTGCCTCTGCCTCCTGAATGCTTTGATTAAAGGCGTGCGCCATCACTGCCTGGCTTCCCAGACTCTTTTTTTTTTTTTATTTAACTTTATTTTATGTGCATTGGTGTGAAGGTGTCAGTTCTCATGGAACTGCATTTTCAGACAGTTGTGAGCTGCCATGTGGGTGCTGGGAATTGAACCTGGGTCCTCTGGAAGAACAGTCAGTGCTCTTAACTGCTGAGCCATCTCTCCAGCCCCCCAGACTCTTTTTTAAGACTTGCTTTTATTTTATATATATGAGCAACACTTCTCAACCTGTGGGTGGTGATCCCTTGAGGGTCGTTAGGCTATCACGTTTCCTTCCAATGGTCTAAGGAACTGCCCCCCTCCAGGAGGTCTATCCACATGCTGACAGACCCACTAAGTACTGTACTGTATGAAAGGGTTGCAGCATTAGAAAGGTTGAGAACCACTGCTCTAAAGGGCAGCTTAAG